TCTCCCCCGTATGTAGTCCTCCATCATCAGCTGACTAACTCCATCAGCTGACCGTCCGGGGCGGCGGAGGCGGCCCTCCCTCCCCTCCCCTCGCTGACGTGTTGACCCAGGCTCCCGGCCGACCAGGGGGGGGGGGGTTGCCCGCATCCCCCTAACCGGCACGCGCCGCCGCCTGCCACCTGGCCCCCGACACAGGGGGGGGGGGGTTGAAGGGCAGACGGTCGGGTGCACGGTGGGGTTCATGGGCAAAACTCAGTCCGGCTGCACTTCGGAACGCACCTAACGAGGGAGGGAGATGATAGAATTTGCAATATGCATATACGGTAGGCCGATATTCGGATCTGCGTAAGTGGATCATGAATAAAATAGTTCTATCGATGTATTTTGCGAGGCTTTATGTAACGAACGAGGCTTTATGATTCAAGTTTAACAGTTGTCTCCGAAAATGGATTTTACTGATGGTCCATCCGACGAAAATGTCCTCTTTCTACTCATCCCGATGATGGACCACACTGGTGCCGCAGCCGGCTCCCATCACAACACCCCATCTCAGGTGACGTCATGACATCCGGTGACGTCACCGGTCGGGCGGCGGCGGCGGCGGAGGTCGCCGGTGGTAGCCCGCCCGGTCCCCGAGACCGTCTCCATGTGTCTATGGGCCTGTTCCAGCGCCTCCAGAAACCTCCAGAAAGCTCCAGAAAGCTCTAGAATCCTCCAGAGAGCGTTCCAGCGCCTCCAGAAAGCTCCAGAAAGCTCTCGCCAAAGCTCCAGAAACCTCCAGTAGCCTCCAGAGAGTTGAGAGGTCCAAATTTCTCTGGAGGCTCTGGTCTACAATTATGGTGCACATGTGACAATCACGAATGTAAACAAAGGACATTTGACTGATTATTTTACAACTTGAATGTAAAGAAAATTACATTGCTATAATTTTATTTATCTTTTTAACTAAAATTGAAAACATATTTTGCGTTTCAAGAGAGAATAATCGTCATTCTTTTGGTATCTATGACGCCAATCTCCAGAAATCTCCAGATTGCGTTCCAGCGCCTCCAGTAAAACCTCTGGTAGAGCCTCCAGTCAAGAATTTCTTCTGGAGGCGCTGGAACAGGCCCTATGTGTACCGCGAACACGCCGGGGACGTGTTACTGCGCCCTCAGCAGCGGTCCTGGTGGTTTGTTTATGTAGAGAGGTGTCGTCGTGATGCGATTGGGTGTCCTGAGAGAGTGACGCGTGTGACGGTGACGGGGTGACGTGAGTGACGGTGATGGCGAGATATAGGTGACGAGTGATTCGATAACGGATCAAGATTAATGCAAGCTGGTGATTATACAAACAATTTATCCGGTATTGAGTTGTGAACCCCTTTGAATGGCGATGCAGGAGCACTACATGGAAGATAACCTTTCTCTCAAGACTTAATTGCTGTCTTTCCAGCTGCCTTTTGCTCGTGCATGTCAGATTGTCGGGAATGCCATGACGGGTAATCCTTTGTCTCGGCCCAGCAAACATTTTTTCATGCCAATTATCGCTCCTCGAACTGACTTCCGGAGACACTGACACCGACTTCATATATCTAAACACCAGGTGAGGCTGACCCGAGTTTACCAGCTGCCGCCTGACACCAATGAAGGGTGACCGCCCCCTCTAACCCCTGCGGCACCCCTGAACGGGAGGGTGCCAGTTTCGGTCCAGCTGCCGCGTCTCGACCGGTGTGGTGGCAGCTCCCCATTGAGAGAGCGGAGACGGACGGGAGGTGGCGGCTCGCTCCCCTTTACCGGCAGCTGCACGGTCCGACCAGCCGGCTTACCGCTGTCCTCCCTCCCTCGAGCCTCCCGCGGACGTTTGCACCAGGGACCGAACTCCGCGGCTGACTGGGAAGAGGATGGAGCAGCGGAGAGCGCCGAGGACTGGAAAGAGCGCGGAGGACAGCTGAGAGTAGGGGAGGGTGAAACGTGAATGGGCTGACGTGCGGGAGAGAAAGGGTGATCGGGGAAGACTTCTGAGAAAGGCAGAGGAGAGAAAGACAAACACATGCTCCAGGCAAACTGATACCCAGGCGGTTATAATTTATAGCAAAATGTCATGTGCTAACTGGTCCCCTCTAGCAGTTTCCCGGGTCTCAAGCTCCCCACCAAGTCAAATGGCCCTCTCCTCCAGCTGCTGCCCGGCCTCCTCTGAGCTCTGTGTGCCGCCTGGGAACTGGACCGTCCTCCCTTCCCTCCCATCGCCTCCCTGTGTCGTCTGTGTCACCCGCCGCGGCAGTACTGCGGCACACATGGCCACCACGTGGTGTGCGCTGGACGGGACGCTCCAGACCCCCGCTCTGGAACGCAGTTGGCGTGGGAGAGTCGGTATGTGGGTTCACACGCCCGAGAGGGGAGATGGGCCGGCCGAGAGTGGGGAGCGAGGACGGAAGGGGACCGGGGTCTGCTGGAATGGCTGTCGGGGCCAGTGGAGGTATGTTTGGGAATGTGTCGAGGCGCGGAGCGGGCCACAGCGGAACAGCTGGTCCGGTGAGTCGAGGGTGAGCCCACAGCCGGCAGCTGAGAGTAGCTGGTGAGTCAGACAGCTGAGCAACTGCTGAATCTGACAGCTGAGCAGCGAGTGAGTCAGAGTCTCAGGGCTGCAACCTGCAGTATGATCCTGATCGGACCGGCTACTGTGATACTGACTGCCACAGGGGATGAGGTTACTCGGCGGGGGTCGGACGGTGGCACCCAGACTCGTAAACTTGTAAAGGAGCAGTGCGACGCGACAATCCTGCCCAACAGCTGGGCGGAGAGCAGCTTTGGCTTGTGTGTTATTGCGTTCCCTGCTCAGCATTCACGCAGGCATGGGTGTTGGGCATAAAACAGACAAGAGTGTATGTGTGGAGTGAGGTGGAGGTCTGCGGAGCTCAGAATTGGGCGTTTGGCCACGAATAAATAAATGAACACCTCTGGAGAACAGAGCAGGGGCCGACGGACGGGACGGGATAAATAGAAAACAAATGACTGCCGCAGGAATGGAAACGGGAACAAAGAAGCGTGGGAAACAGTGGTGAATATGAACAGAGCGGAGTGAAATGGGGGTTATGAAACGATTTCGTTTCTCACTTACTGCTCGAAAAATATTTAACCTAGGGGCTTGAAATTCTGAAATTTTAGAAACTTTACGGATTAGGTAAGCATCATTCCATCACACAATTTCTCCGACATATCGGCTGACGCATTTACCATTTTACCGTTCTTTTGTGCCTTTACATACAGACTTCTTTGCACCTCTTCCTTCTAGCCCGGACGCCGACCCTGTCCGTTTCCTTCAGCTCCACCAGCTGCCGTCAGCCGCTACCGTGACGGCGTGACGGCGCCGTGACGCCAGCGGCCGGACGTGAGGTATAACGCGGCGCACAATGGAGGCGCGTCACTTGTGCCCGAGGCGGCGGCGGCGGCGGCGGCGGCGGCGGCGGCGGACGCCCCAGGGAGGATGACCAGCAAGGCAGCGGACGCGACTCCACGGCCGTCACAAGGGCGGACCTGACCGCTCGCCGCTCAGAAGGCCGTCTCATAGTCGGTGACCATCGGCTGCAGCGGCCCGGCGACCGTTTTACTCCGTAAGCCAGCCGAAGATGTCCGTCTCCCGGTCCACCCGCCCGCCCCAGTTTAGCGTAGCTCGATCCAGTGGGTGCTTGGGAGCGAGACGGTCATTTGGGGTTAAACTACTGAACTGCTGCCGAGTTTGGTGAAAGATATGATGGAACGGAGGGAGTTGGGAGACCAGAATGTCAAGGTTCCACGCTGTGGGACGTTAAGTTGATAACCGAAGGTATTTATATTTCAACGTCTTCTAAATGCAAGTGTTTCTCATCTCAACATAAAGATATCCATAAATAGCCCTTTCCCTGACCACAATCTCTCCAGCTTAGCGTCCGAAAACAGCCATTACCCAGAGAATCCTCCGAAACTGACAAAAATTCGGCCCTGCATCATGTCCGTGTAACCGGACGCCGCTGAGAAATCCGCCGCTGCAGCCGCACCTGACGGCCGCTCGGTCAGTGCGCGCTGCTCTCCGTGACACCCACTTTCGTCGCGCTGACGGATGGCCCGTCGCTGTCGACGCGTCGCCGACGACGCCGCGGTGTCAGCCGGAGAAACGTCGATACGGCGCCGCCGGGGCCAGTTAAGTGGCGCGCACAGCTGTGTGCTGCCCGGCCAACAAATGACGGAGGGTGGTGGACGCCGCCGCGGCGCGACTTCGGTGTCTGAGAGCAGAAGTGTTACCGGTCCGCCTCTGGCCGGCTGGTTTGGTCTGGTCCGGATATGGTCACGGTCGGTCCCGGTCCTGCCCTCGGTCCGATCTCAATCCAGCTCCCCGGGCGGGAGACGCCGCCGCCCAGGTGACCGTTGTGGGCGGGGGCGGCGGCGGCGGCGCGCCCAGGCCCGTCATTACTGACACTTAGTCACCATCGCCAGCGGCGGCGGCGGCGGCGCCGAGCGGTGCTCAGTGCCCATTGCAGGTCGGCGCGGGCGCCCCCAGGCGCGGGCGTGCCCGTGGCCCGGCGCGGCGGCACTAGGGCTGATTTCGCCGTCGCTCTGTACGGGAAAGTGAGCCGTGCGCGCGGCCGTGGTGGTCCGTTTCTCCCGACCCGGGGGTGGAGGTGAGCGGGCTCGCCGGTCCATATTCGGTCCGGGGAGGAGTGGGGTCGCTCCGAGGGCCCGGCCCACCGTCCCATTCGTCAACGACTGCAGCCAGGGCCGCGTGCAGGCCGGATCGTGAGATAAATCACAGCTCCGAAGGACGAGTAACGCACCAGTGAGAGCAGGATTCGAAGGACTAACGTCTCTTTCGGCACTGTTCCATAACGGCAACACGGAAAGTCAGGAGACGGAAAAGCTCAAGGATGGTTCAATGGTGAGACTTTACAAACATAAGACGCGAGAACAGTAAGCATGATGACAATGTAAAGGCGGTTTCACACAGATCACTGAACCGCAATATCTCCGCGAACTGATCGTACTCACCTGGTGTCGTCTGCCAGCTCAGACCCCCGATGAACATTTTCCTGCCGGAGAGAGAGACGGCCGTCGGTCAGGGACGGTGTAAAACCCCGGCCCAGCAGCCGGCTGCAGGTTCAGATGACATTAGCGATAGTGCCGCTGAGCCCGGCCCGGTCCCACGCCGACTCAGAGGAGCGGCCTCGCCGCGTGGGAGAAAACAGCAGACGAGAAAAGTGCGGGCTGGTTCTGAGGTGACGATCGGTTACTTAGATCATTGAGCTGCACCTCTGCGGTCTACAGGCTGAGAACATACCGCCAGCCAGGCCTTTACTTGAAATTGAACGGGCTGGTGATACGATGAAACACAGTGCAAACGGCTGTTTCGCATTAGCGAGCGAAATGGCACTTGCTGCAAACATGACCTGAGTAAATAAACCGCGGCCAAGAACAGGCCGGTGAGCCATCGGACAAACGGATCGACAAATGAGCTCACACTCGTATAAACTGACTCAAATGGAACATGAGTGGGTGACTGATCGGGTAATCAGGCGCCTCATGAAAACGATAAATTATGTAAACAAACCAATGCGTCATCGGGTGAGGGCGCTTCCCACAGTAACTTTACCACGGGAGTACTCCACGGGCGCGTGGGAGCGCTGCGGTCGCGGTGACACGCCAAGGCACCGGATCAGCTGATCAGTCAGTCACTCCCACATACGTACACAAGTGTGAAGTGGGCGGTGGCGCCTCCCCTCCCCACAGAGGTGCGGTACGGTGGCCAGCCCTCCCACTCACCCGGGGTCGTTGGGCAGCTCGGACGGCGACCCGATCGAGTCCTGGTTGTCCATGGCGACCTCCGGCTAGCTACTACTGACACACGACTCGAGCGACGGCACGACAGCGAGCGACACGGTCCGGCGTTCGGCCACGACTGACCCTCCTCAGCCGACGGCGGCCCGGGCGGCGGGGCGCGCAGCCGTCCGCGCACACCTCCCTGCCCGGCCGCCCGTGATTGGGCTAAATCTCCCCTGCACAGCGCCGCCCCCAGAGACATCTGTTGGCCGAGGAAGAAGTTAGAGTGCCTGGATGGATCAGAGATGAGGTGGTTTTTATGCGTGGGAGGAGCTGGGGGGGGGGGGGTGAGATCGTAGAAGTAGTTTGGTGGTCGTGATTGTGTTAGATGAAATTGTCCCGCCAGTAGAGCGACTTAAGTGTACCATCATCAGTTAGGTAATTGATCACTTATCAGCATGGAAGGCAAAGAGATGATGATCATCAGACGTGGGACGGATCAAGTCCCGAGGTATGGGTCCGGCGTTTAAAATCGGAAAATTGCACCCGTGACCCCTCTTTGTGCCCCTCAGGTCATTAAAGGTCATTAAAGGTCTCCAGCAGTTTTTACCGTAAGTTTTGATGGAGACATGCTAGAGCGATGAAAACACCTCAGACGTGTTCAGCTCGACGATACAGATCGACTGATAATGCAACATGATCTTTTCCGGTTAGCTCATGACCTTGACCTGAGGTCAACTTTTCATAATGATCTTCCAATGTCAAATTATGGTTCATTCGACGCCAGTGGCGGATCCAAGGGGGGGGGGGTCATATGGGTCATGGCCCCCCCTTGGGCACTTGTGGTGCCCCACGGGGGCACCACAGGCCTGCCAGGGCCACCACCGGCCTATCAATTCCCAGGGGCATCACAGGCCTGACAGGGGCACCACAGGCCCGCCAGTGGCACCACCGGCCTCGCAGGGGCCAGGGGCACCCCGGCCTCACAGGGGCACCACCGGCTTCGCAGGGCCCAGTGGCACCTTGGGCTTATCAGGGGCACTTCAGGTTTGTCAGGGGCACCACAGTCCTGCCAGGGCCCAGGGGCACCAGCGGCCTAGCAGGGGCACCACAGGCCCGCCAGGGGCACCACAGGCCCGCCAGGGGCACCACCGGCCTCGCAGGGGCCAGGGGCACCCCCGGCCTCACAGGGGCACCACCGGCCTCGCAGGGGCACCACCGGCTTCGCAGGGCCCAGTGGCACCTTGGGCTTATCAGGGGCACTTCAGGTTTGTCAGGAGCACCACAGTCCTGCCAGGGCCCAGGGGCACCAGCGGCCTAGCATGAGGGGCACCACAGGCCCGCTAGGGGCACAACAGACCTGCCAGGGGCACCACAGGTTAGCAAGGGCACCGCGGGCCTGTCAGGGCACCTCAGGCTTGTCAGAGCCCAGGGGCACCACAGCCCTTTCAGGGGCACCACAGACCTGTCAGGGGCACCAGAGGTCTAGCAAGGGCACCACAGGCCAGCCAGGGGCACCAACGGCCTCGCAGGGGCACCTTGGGCCTGTCAGGTGCACCACGTGCCTGTCAGGGACACTTCAGGGTTGTCAGCTGGGCACCCCAGTTCTGTCAGGGCCCAGGGGGCAGGGGAAAAAATAATAAACAGAAAAAAAAACTAAAAATAGGGCCCCACCAAAAAATAAGTGTCCGAAATCCGTTGAGTTTTTAATTTTGGGTATAGGTAGGGTGCCCCACTTCGATTCATGACCCCTCCCTTGGAGTTTTTCTAGATCCGCCCCTGTTCGACGCGTCTCGACGAGGGAAACACGATGCTGATAGTTGTATTGTCGTGACTCTCTTTAGTCAAAAGTTGTTGCAGAAAAAAAAACGTTTTTCTTATAAACGGCTTTTTAGAGCTTTTGCCCTCTGGAGGCTTTACCGTTGACCTGAGGTCTAACCTGTGAACACACAGAAAGAGTGCTGAAGGAGCTATCGATTGCGCTTTTCCGCGGCGCTGTAGCTCTAGGTATCGGTTCGCGCCGGTTTTGCGAAAATTGTTGAAATAGGCAAAATTTGACCTTTGATGACCTCTGGTCACCTTACCTTTGACCTGACCTAAAACATGACCGAAGTATTTTCTCAATTATTTTTGACACTATTTCGAATGCCGCTTACTGCGTGTCGCTATATGTGGCCCAGGAGCCGAGCTAAACGGGGGGCGTGAACCCCCTCTTAGCACGAGACGCGGAAAACTTGAGACCACCAGCACGGCGAGGGTTAACATAAAAGCGCAATATGAAGATCACGGTTCCTTCAAAGATGCAAATCTCAACCCCAAACGCTTGGGGATCTAAATGGTTGCCGTTGCCTAAATGGTGAGGTCTCGTTATTGATCTGACTTCAGACGACCTTAAGGTAAAAAAAAAAAAAAACAAGAGTCTAGGGGATACAAATTGTGAGACCTTGTAAGCTTACTTCTTGTATACTTCCTTCCCCGATTCACGATTCTCTAACCCTCGCACTTAAAGGGGCGAAAGGGGGGGAGGAGGCGAATGTGGAACGGACCACCCTTGATTTTTCGCAAATAACTCGATCAAAACAGCTGCCGATCGCAACGAGACCCTTATTGCCCTCGGGTTTATCAATCTTACACTTTATACTCTAGAGTTTCATGATCCTGACCCAAATGACCTTTGACCTCTGACCTGTTTCTCGAGACTATGTTCGGCCAGAAGTGCGATTCACCGCATGTTGGCGCACAATATCCGCGCGTTTCCAGTCCTTGTGTGGTTGTGAAGGTTCCAGCAAAATGATGTTTGTGGCTGTGCCATGCAATATGGTAGGCTTCGGGTCACGTGAAGGTCAGTTGAAGGTCATTAACCTGACATAGCCTTGTTTTTTTCGAGTTTCGCGTGCTTTGATATAAGTTTTTAGAGCTTATTTTGAATTTAGCACCCTTTTGAACAAGTAAGAAGTAGTTTTGAAGCCAATGTAACATGCTACGAAGCTGTCAGTAGAGGTTCACACTACGGATAGCCGACAGTACGCCTACTGGATGACCTGACCTAACCTGACCCGAGTAATAGGTACCAAATGCATGAATACATCATCATGGATCAAACTAACACGAAATTCATAATGAGGAGCAAGAAAATAAAAGAAAACATAAGCCTTACTTTACGGAGTTTCAGCAGGTCCCGATTTTCCCGACTTTTTGATCCGATTAATTGACCTGAGTCTGACCTGGAAGGACAACCAAAGTCCTTGGACCTTTGGAATTTGGTATCATCTGCTTACTCTTGTCACGGGAAATACACTCGCTTTCACCGCACAGCTCTAGCTCGTTCAGGGGCGAAACGGATGGAGTTGGGTCCTACGGATCCCCCCTCCTCCCCCTCATGGGCGTCACCACCACTAGGGACACTAGGGACATTGTCCCTAGAAGTTTTGAAATCATCGAAAACTACTAGGGATTGTCCCTAGAAGTTTTTGGAGTTCCCTCTACTAGGGACACGCAAAGAACCCGGGACACGATAATGGCTGAACTTGCTCAGCTCTCCGAACACATGTGTTTTGCCTTGCGAACGGTCGGGTCAACATCGCCACAGTAAATAAAAAGGCTCGCGAGCGGTGTGCCTCCCCACAGATGTGACGGTGCCCTCCGGCCTCCAGGCACGTGCGTGTGGTCGCCGTAAAGCTGGATACGGCAGGCCGGCACTCGTCCGAGAAATTGGTCGAGTTTGTTTCCCAGTTACCCGAGGAGACACCCGAGCCGATTCTGGAGGTGCCCAGCATGATTGCTGAAACGAACTCGGCTGTTTACATACAGGTCCAGCTTATAAACCCGACCGATGACGATATGCAGCTGTCCGCCGGTTACGGGCTAGGGCAGACTCAGCTGCATGAGGGGCTCGTCGCCACAGTGTGCGTGGACCCGGCGGAAGGTCAGGATCAGGGCAGTACTGGGCCGCCGCTCTGGGCCGGCCGCTGGTCAAGCCAACATTTCCTAAATCAATTCCCTCTGGAACATCAGAATGGGGATCGGAGACGGCGTGTAGAGGGGGAGGCATCAGGGCCATGCCCCCCCCCCCCAGGGAAAATCAGGGGTCGTCATATAATTCCCCCCCCCCACAACAAAAAAACAAGCGATGGGGCCCCGACCCTTATTCGATTGTCACGAGGCTCAAGAAACCCACGCCAGCTATTAACAGCTCCATACCGATCTTCGAGGGGGTCCTACACATGACCTCTGATGGCCCTTCCGTGGTGGTCAAGCGCCCACATTGACCGTGGAGGACCCGCATTGACCTCTGAGGGCCCTTCGCTGGCCTTTAACCCGCGACCTGGTGGGGGGGGGGGGCTATTTTTTGCCCCCCCCCCCCTCCAGACTTTTTGATATATCTCCAGAACCGCTGCGCCGATCGTCACCAAACTTTCAGTACCCTCCCGGACCCGGACATCAATTTTACACATTGTGACTAAAAATTTTCCAAAGGCTATGACAGGTTGGCCGGAAATGACGTCAGAGTGACGTCATGTTCTGCCGTTTTCGACCCAAAAAAGGGTTTTGCGGGAAGAGCTGTCAGGCCTATAGCTTTGCAAATACAGAAAAATGATAAAGACATAAAAGCTGTAGTATTGACAGGGCTACAAAACTGCTATCTCGGATTTTTGGAACTTTTGGATTTTGACCCCCAAAAATCAAAAAATATTTTTTTTGATATAATAATCAAAAAATCCAAAAAGTTTTTTGAATTTCGCAAAAACCGGAATATATGTGATAGTCCTTACCGCCTTCCATCCACATACCAAATTTGAGATTGATACCTCTTTTTTTTGGTGAAGTTATAGCGAAAAAACTGTTCAAAATTGATGACGTCAAATTTTCAAACTCAATTTTTAGCAATTCTAGACCCCGTAGCGCAAAACAAAGACCACCATTAGACTCCCCGTGACGAGCTGCATCGAATCAGTACCCATTTTATGCAAAACTATCAACTTTAAAATTTGACCTTTTTTGGCCTGACCTTGACCTGACCTTGACCTGAACTTCATCAGAAAGTGACCTAAGCCGTACCTGATAGTCTTATAACCAACACCATTGAGTTGGAAATGAAAAATTGCCTATAAAACATGCATCACACAACCTTAGTAAAGTTGGGCTCATGTGACCTGACCTGTGACCCTTGGTGACCTGACCTGTGACCCTTGGTGACCTGACCTGTGACCTGACCT